AAATAACACTAAGAATATCTTTGCCGGGCGTTATTTTTGGGCGTTATTTTTTTGGTGATGCTATAAACATTTCTGGATACATGTAAAGTTTTGTCTACACTGCAAGCATCTGTAGCCTTACGTATTATACATAGTACAAAAACTCAATGTACTACAGATTGTACCACAGGAATATATTTACGTATATGGGGAATGCTCCGTAATTTTAACTGTAGCATTAAAAGATCACGGAATAATGTGAACATAAATTATGATTGTCGATTACGGAGGTCCCGAATCACAACTTGCTAGGTTACCAACGTCAATTCTGACTTAATTGAGTATATTGATTATTGAAGTAAATGGACCCATTTTGGTTATTATTTAGATGTGATTGAACCATGATAATTCACGGATTTTCCAATGAATAAAAAAAATGATTCCTTTTGAATTACTGTATATGAAATATCGATTAAAATCGATATGGAGGTGGTTTGACCATCGATCTTCATTTCCAAATTTATTTTATAAAGTGTTAGATACCCTCAGATTTCATTTTACAACTATAGGTATCTGCATATAATCATTTCCGATAATAAGGATAAAATTACCCGAGTGTTTTATTGCCTAAAGCTTAATGTTAATACTAATTTATGGTTAATCTTCACGTCCTTGTGATAAAATTAATAAAATAATAAAATTAAAAATGATTAATAAGATAACGAATTGAACCAATAAGAATTAGTTATCTCAAGGCGTGATAAAAACTTAGTTATCAGATATGAAATCGACAGTTTTAGTAAGTAATAAAAATTTGTAGATTATTCATATGAACTTTAAGTGATTCTTTGATTCTTTAATAAAGATAAGAATAAATAATTTTTGTATTACTGTATTATGTAAATTTCTAATATTTGTTGTACAAGATATGAGAGGACGGTTTAGTTCTGACATCTATAATTCCACATACCAGGTATGGATACTGTACTTGATATCTGAGAAAGATGACAGAAGATAACGATAAGTTAGACTCTGATGCAATAGTCAAATGAAACTCATAAAATGCCGCCCCTTTAAAAAAAAATCAGTCATTGTTGCATCATAATTTGTAAATTGTTTTTTTTATTTTTTTTTTTATTCAACTTTAATTAATTATAATTATTATATATATATATATATATATATATATATATGTGTACATCGAAACGAATTTGTTAAAAAAAAAGTTGGTACTATATTAAACATGCCGTCTTCACAATTTATTAAATCTTCCGTCGCTACGATTTCCAATGGAGCTGATATTTCAACAGATTCAAAATATACCCGGGTCCTTAACATGACCCACTTGATCCCTTACGAAGTTTATATGTCAGAACCTCCAAAACCAGCCGAGGATGGTACTATCACATATAATTGGGCTTTAAGACACCGAAGGGGTCACTCGGCCCTTTACGCTGGAATTCGTTCTTTAGACAATGAGTGGGATAGCTATTACGTTGGTTTCGTAGGTCAAGTTTTTGATGCTGAAGACAAACCAATCGAGAGTAGTAGCTTTACCGAAGAGTTTAAGAAAAGTTTAGAGTGCTTTTTATTGAAAAATAAAGCTGTACCGGTGTTTCTCGAGGATGAACAACATCACGGCCATTATGAGGGTTTTTGTAAAACTGGTACGTGATGCGCATACGCGTGTTGATTTTACCAATTATCCTGCCGATTTTCGTTTCTGATTGTCGTGTCATAGTATTATGGCCGTTGTTCCATTACATTTTGTGGGATACCGTGACGGATGGTCGTCAGGAAAACCAAAATTGGCAACTATATCGTGCCGTGAATCAAGCATTTACCGACAAAATTAAAGAGATTTATCGTCCTGATGATTTAGGTATGTATATTATATATATTGGTATATTTGGCATATTATTATTATCGTTAAATATATAGTTATTAAATTTATTTATTTAAATATTTATAGTTTGGATTCATGATTACCATCTTTTGATGGTACCTCGTATGTTACGTGATGCGCTTCCTGATGCTGTTATTGGTCTCTTCATTCATGCTCCTTTTCCAAGTTCTGAAATCTTTAGGTGTTTACCTCGTATGTTTTTTTTTCTTTTTTTCTATTTATGTTTATTTTTATATGATCTTGCTTTTTCAATTATTCATTCAACTATTTTCATTAATACAAAGAAAGGAAGGAAGTATTAGATGGTATGCTAGGCGCTAACCAGATTGGTTTTCAGGTATTGTTTAACCAATTCATTCTTTTTATATTTAATTTTCGTTATAATACTCTAACCTTTTTTTTTTTTAAGACATATTCTTATGCGAGACATTTTATAAGCAATTGTACGCGTATCCTTGGCTATGAATCTACTCCAAGTGGTGTCGATGCCAAAGGTTCAATAGTATCTGTTGGTCCTTTTCCCATCGGTATCGATGCTGAAAAAGTTGAAGTACAAAGAAAAAGTCCTGAAGTTGCTAAAAAAATGGAGTCTCTCAAGGAAATGCACGCAGGAAAAAGAATTATTGTTGGTAGAGATAAACTTGATTTAGTTAAAGGTGTAATTCAAAAACTACATGCTTTTGAAAAATTCTTATCTGAGTATCCAGAATGGCAAAATAAGGTCATTATCTTTAATTTTTAATCTAATTTTTTTTTAACTATTATTTTTTTTTTAACTAATCTTTTTATATTATTATTTTAGGTCGTTCTAATTCAAGTTACTTCACCTGCTCTTACTGAATCTCCGAAACTTGAGCGTCGAGTTGCCGAGCTTATTGCCCATATAAATGGCACTTATGGTTCGCTCGAATATACTCCTGTTCATCATCTTCATAGTCAAATTGAACAAGATGAATATTTCGCCCTTTTAAGTGTTGCTGACATAGGTTTGATTACATCTGTTCGTGATGGTATGAATACTACTTCTTTAGAGTATGTCATGTGTCAACAAGAAAATTATGGCCCACTCATTTTGAGTGAATTTACTGGAATGGCTGGTTCTTTGGGTGCTGCTATTATGGTAAACCCTTGGGATTATAGTGGTGTAGCTAAAGCCATAAATGATGCTCTTAATTTGAGCTGTGAAGAAAGACAAAACAAACATATGGTACTGTATTTTTTTAACTTACTTTCCTTCAAAATTATTTTCAAAGTTATTTCAAATAATAATATTTATTTATTCTTTCTTATAGCAATTATACAGGCACGTGACTGTGCATACTGCTCAATATTGGGCAAAGACTTTTATTAAAGAACTTGTTATTAGTTTAAGTAATAGTAATCAAACAACTACTACCCCTTATCTTGACATGCAAAATTTATTGACAAAATATAAAAAGTCGAAAAATCGTTTATTGTTATTCGATTATGATGTACGTTTTATTATTTTTCTATTATCTGTTTAATTATGCTGTTATCTGAACTTATAATCTTATAATCATTCGATCTATTTTTACTCTTTTTACTAAAGGGTACACTCACACCAATTGTAAAAACGCCGAGTCAAGCAATACCTCCGCCAGAGATGCTTGAGAATCTGCAAAAACTCGCGGATGATCTAAAGAATACTGTATGGATAGTATCTGGACGTGATCAAGATATATTGGAGGAGTGGCTTGGGGGTATTAAGAAACTTGGTTTCAGGTGTGTAACCTTTTGATCTGTGAATAATTTAATAATAAAAGTTTAATGATTTTTGTTAAATGAATTTTATAGTGCTGAACACGGTTGTTTCCTTAAATATCCTGAAAGCGATAAATGGATCAATCTTACTGAAGATATCGATATGAGTTGGAAGAATGATGTTGATGAGATTTTTACTTATTTCACAGAACGTACACAGGGTTCATCTATTGAACGTAAACGTTCTTCAATTACATGGCACTATCGTCAGGCAGATCCAGAATATGGGTAATTTTATATCACTATTTTAGTTTATATAAATTAAATTAGTATTAAAATGTCTTAATTGATCTTAATTAGTGCATTCCAAGCTAAAGAATGTCAAAATCATTTGGAAAGTGCAATTCTACCGAAATTACCGGTAGAAATTTTGTTAGGAAAGAAAAATCTTGAAGTCCGTCCAACCTTAATTAATAAGGTTAGTGAATACATTTATTCATTTTCTGTTGTCAATTAAAAACTTTGATTAATATGATAATGTTGGATTTAAGGGCGAAATTGTGAAGCGTTTGTTGACAGGCATGCAGGATGTAGATTTCGTATTCTGTGCGGGTGATGACAGAACAGATGAAGATATGTTCAGAGTACTGAAAAGAACGCCTGACTTTAATGATTTAGAGTGTTTCACAACTACCATTGGACCTCCAGCTAAAAAGACATTAGCAAGTTGGCATGTTTCTTCACCTGAAGAAATAATTCAAACTATGAAAAAATTAGCAGACTCTGCCCAATCTTAGAATAATTAATGTGAATATATATTGGATGACCATTTGAACATCAAAAAAGTTATATAGAAACAAAATTAAAATATAATACTGTATTTAAATTTTTAAAATGCTTTATTGTGCCCACTATTTATATAATTCTAACTTTTATTAATTTGCATGAGATTTTTATTTTTTAATTTGATCTTAAATAAAAGTTATTAAAAGATTTTAATAATGCAATTTGTATGTATTATAACAGTATTATAACAAATTATTTTTCATAACCAATTAACCCTATTTTTTATTAGTATAACTATAAACCATAAATGGATTATTTGTTATAACTAATATAACTAATGTTTGATGAAATTATTAGCACTTCTTTTTATTAGTATGCCTCTAAACTATATAAGTAATTATTTGTTATAATATTTTGATGAAATTATTAAACCTATTTTTATTAACATGACTCTATACTATAAGTGAATTATTTGTCATAACTATTGTTTGAAATTACACTATTTCCATTAGCATGACTCAACCATAAGTGGGATTATTTGTCATAACTAATGTTTGATGAAATTATTAACACTATTTTTATTGTCACAAGTTGGAAGGTTTTTTTTTTAATTATTTACAGTATTTTCCAGAAGGTTTTGTGAATTCCATTTTGTTGCTAATTCAAGAAACCTGTTAAAAAATATATTAAATGACGTTAATAGGTAACAAAAAACTATAGAATTTAAACCAATAATTACTATGTAAAATACTCACTTTCCAGTACAACTGTATCCATTAAAATCTGTAAAACCCATGTATTAAAAAAATGATTATTGGATTGATTTAGATCAAAAAGCTATCGACAATTTATTATAACTTACCAAAACTATCGTCAGGATTGCAATGACATTTTAATTGTAATTCTTCTTCGCTAGGACAATGCATGAAAGGATCATGTTTATATCCAATTTCTTTGAAAAAATGCACTTGGTGTCTTTTTAAGAAGAGTGCTGCAGCTATTGAATGAACAGGTGCATCCCCCCACCTATAATAAATATCATAAATATTATAAATATATTCTTCAAAAGTTACTATAAATATTTTATTTTTAAACTAACCGTTCGTAGAAAAATCCACCTTTTTTATCAAGAAAATCAAAGTATTTCAAATATGCCTCACTCCTCCACAAATTCAAATCAGCGATTTCAAAGTTTGACCAAAAATGGCACCTAAAAAAAATTAGTATAAAAAAAATTAAATAAAAATTATATATATTCAGACAAAGAATACGAGAAGACTTTTTTAATATAAAAAAAATATAAGCATACAAATTATAAGTTTTTCCATTATCATCTGATAAAAATTCCATTAAATTATCAGTTTCAATGTATTCAGGATAATTTAAAGCAAACTCTTTAACAGCATCCCAGAGTGTAGGTATAGTTTTCGGATATTCATAAAGTGAAACGGTGAAAGCTAAGATTAATAAAAATTATTCATTAGTATTATGAACAAAACGAAAAATGATAACAAAATAATAACTTATATAAAAATATATAATAATAATTACAATATTTAATATCATTATCTCTAAGATATACAAATGGATCAAAGTCGATATCGCAAAAAAAATTGACTCCTGGTTCAACACGCCAATAATAATCATATTTATCCAATAACTCGTGTCGAAAAAAAAATCCAGATTCATATCTGAATAAAATATTACATATTAAATATTAATAAAAAAAAATCATTTTAAGAAATATTCATAATAACAATTGACTTTTTTTTTTTACCTGCACATATGACGATAAGGTAAGCTACCACCGTACAAAACTTGATCATTCTCCATTTTTTCCATATTTTGCTTTACAACACCCATATCTATATAATCTGGAACACTCCAATATTCATATGGAATTAAACCTATTATTATATAATAAAGGTTCATTTTTCGGATCATTTATTTTAACCACTAAAAAATCAATTGATAACACAATCCTACAATTAAATAAAAAAAAATAATTAATTAATTATTGAAAGTAACACTTACCATATTCTGTTTTGGCCTTAGTTAAAGCACTAGTGTATTTCTTAAATTCTTCTGTAAATGGAACATCGTTTAAAAATACATATGGGTAATTATAATTACGATTAAATCTATCTTCAAGTTGTCTCATAGTCGGTCTAAAGTTATGTAAATCACTATTTCTAATCAAAACTACAAAACATGCATTGGCTCGGTCTGGTTCTTTAGTATAATTCATCTCAATTCCATTGGGAACTACGACTTTACTTGTTAAATCAGGATCTGGTAGTACCCATGGCGTTGAGAAGCTTGACTTTGGACGATTTTTTATTAATGCCCAATGAAAAAAGAAAAGTACTACCAAAGTTAAACCTAAATATTTAAGATTTGCTCGTTTAACCATTGATAAAAAGAAGGATAGAAAAAAAGTTGATTGTTTAGAAGAGAAGAGAAACCAGAAAAAGGGACTTACGATAACATTTCCTGATTTGGTCAACAGATATTTGATTTCAATGATTAATACATTTGAAGATTTTAGCTCTTAATACGTATTCTTTATATCAAATACAAAAAGGAAAAGTAAGTTTTGCAAGTATATGCTTTTAAAACGTTTATTTAAATTTTGATTTGTGATATAACTTATAATAAAGAAATAATAAGAGAATAATAAGAGTAAATGATTTGAATAAAGCTGATAGATAATTATGCAACGGGAAATCGTCTGTTGAATGAATATTCTTTTTTGATTTCATTTAAGAAAAAAAGAAAAAAAAAATTAAACATGAAACAATTTTACTATATATGAAGACTCAAAAAAAAATAATTAGTGTCGTTAAAAGAAAACGGGACTCATCATATGTCATTGATTATAATTTTTCAGGTTTTCTAATCAAGATATTAGTCAATGAAACGAAAGTATTCTGTAGTAAAATGTGTCATTTTAGTATCGTTACAATTAAGTAGGAGAATAAACGAACAAGCGAGACTTGATTTCGAATGTAATAAGAGGTCCATTTGATTAACCTCATTATCTAAGTATCTCAGTTTATTTTTCAACACAAATTTTATGTCAAAATTGAATCACGATAGTAAATTCCCTGTTAGCCCTCAAAAACTTAGATCGACAATTCTAATAGTTCTGTATTTTCGTGATATATTTTAGAGAGAAGGGAGCGCAAAGAACTTTTTCCTTAAGTATTCTAAATTATAATTGATTCTTTAAGTATTCTATTTTATTTTAAAATTATAATTGATTCTTTAAGAGAGGAGCTTTGAAGTTTTAAAAATGGTATGACTCATTCGCGATATACTTTTCTTTTCCTCCTATTCAGTCTGAACTTTTTCTTCAAAATACATCATGACTCTTTATTTACGCGTTTTATTTGTTGTCATTTCCTTATGAGTCATATTATAATCGATTGTTTATTAACCTCGATATTTATGGCATCTCGATTAATTTCGGAAATTTCACTTTTAGGACGTTATTTAGAAAAATAAGCCCATGCGCGTTCCGAATAACGCGCATTTTATGTAAGATCACATAGAAAGACTTGTTTGATGAAGTAAGACTTAATCGTTAAAATCTAATCAACTAAAGATCGACCTTTGTAATGTGCCTAAGACAATCCACAAAAGTAGTTTGTTGATTACTGTGTAAACGATTAATGAAGATTCAAGGGATCGGGCGTGTAGTTAGGCATTATTACATGAAAATGTAGTAATGAATTTTACCTTTGTATTTTTAGGTCAATTGAAATATACAGTATTCTCAGAGGAACAGGAAATGATTTACACTTGATTTATTACCGAATTAAAATAAATTATGCTTTAAAACAGTGTTAAACGGCTTGTTCATTGGTAATTGTCGCATCCTTTTATTATATTGTTTATTGTTCAATGTGATAAATAGCATAATAAAAAGATGTAACGATTACCAATAAACATGACCATTTAACAACACTGCTTTTAAATTGATTTATAACATTGTGATTTAAATCATGTGCCATCCCTATAACAAGACTTTAAAATTGTAGCCCACTACGAATCAGACCCAGGCACAAATCACAGGTCTCTACTGTATTAACCAAAGGCGGTTTTTTTTATGCCAAGATCACGGGGGACTAATGATCCATATGTGAATATCCCAATGGATAAATACAAAGTTAGATATGTTTTTAATTAACACCCCCTGAAAAGTTTAAAATATTAAATCAGTATTATATACCCATATACCTGGGTCAAGTGTATACATATTCATTTGTATCCACAAACCATGTATAAGGCAGATCAACAGCTAGTAAATCTGCATCGATAACCTCAAACCTTAACTTCCTTAACTTCCTTATCTCTTTATTTAATCTCCTTATTTAATCTCCGTACGTATAATTAGCAAATTTGTGTTACACTGTGTATGAAAAAAATACAAAATTTAGTAATACAATTCTTATTTTAGACTATATGTTTTTACAACCTTTTTTACAATATTTTGAGACCCTATTCTTCAATATCGCTATTACTAATTTTTGCATTTATATAAAGAGAAATAAGTGCCTATTAATATACACTATAAATATAAAAAAAATAATAAGAGAGAAATTGGATTAGGAGCTTTTAATATTACCCAAAAAATCTAACGCGCTCACAAGCTTTGAGATTCCAATTATAATTAGTGAATCATGACAACATAAATTTGCTATAAAAACAAAAAAAAAACAACAATTGGAACATGGAATTGCAATTATAAAAGGTGTAAAGAAAATAACTAACAAATAGATAAATATACAAAAACATTATTAATAATACTATAAGTGCAATATAAATTTTAAAAATTAGATCTGCATTCCTTGTACATATAAGAAACAATTGACCTATCTCTATAAATATCAATGCTGCTAATAAAATACTATGTGAAATTATAAAAATTAATGTTCTTGTGTTGTAACCTTCTGTTATGTAAAAAAATAATGGTATAAAATTATTGATATGAAGAATGATAATAAATAAATACCTATTTTTCTCAATATCATAAATTTAGGTATTGGAATCATTAAAATTGCAATAACTGCAATAGTGATCAGGTAAGGCATGTATTCTTTTATTCCAAAGTTAAACATGTTGCAAAATGATATTACTGCTAATACAGAAGGGAACAGAAAAGTCAAGAGAAAAAAGACTTTTAACCAGAAGTTGGTTGGTTATTATTTTTTAATATTTTTTTTGTTATAGATTTGAATTTTTTGTTCTTATAATAAAAAATATTCATATTGATACTGGAAGGATCATATAAATAGAAAATTGGCTGAGATAAAATTAGTAAAGATTTCATGAAAAAATACTCTTTTTAATTTATCTGAAAATAGAGAATCTGGCTAAAGCATACAAAGTGATACAACAATAGTAAATTTTGATTATCCCGATGCGTGTAAGACACAAAGGAATGCATTTAAATCTACTGATTAAAATAGCAGGAATGCAATTTTATATATATAATTCTATATATTCCCTATAGTCTTTAATACTATTGTTCTAACTCAAAATCTCGTATTTTTTTGTATGTTTTTTTTGAATCTATATGCATTCTTGTACCAGCTTTTCTTTTTATCATTCATATAAATAAGCACCTTTCTAAATTTGCCAACTTTGTCTCAAGCCTGTCCAAATATAAGCTATTTAATATACCAAAAAAGTCATTTAAATAATAAACATTAACATAGTAGGTGGTTTATATAGGTTTGTTTTTGCTCCGTCGTCTCATCTAGACTAATCGAAAACTTGCAAATTAGACAATGATTATATTGATTGATAGATTATAGTCGGAGATAAAATAGTGTGATCTGAATAATTGTCAGTATTATATTTGGGTATTTGGGGATTATATTAAGCATTCAAGAATTAGCATTGAATTGTCTTCTAAAAGTTATCGTTCTGTTTTTTAAAAAATTCATGTATAGTATAAAAAATTATAGCGATGAAATTTTATTGGTCAATCAGATTATTGATTTCGGGCTCCATATATATATAACATTCGAATTTGAAAAGGTTTCTTAATTAAGTGCATAAATATTATCGAGCAATTTGTTGTACTGAATATTTAAATGAATATTCAAATGAATATTCAAATGAATATTCAAATGAATGTTCAAATGAATGTTCAAATGAATGTTCAAATGAATGTTCAAATGAATGTTCAAATGAATGTTCAAAAAGGAGATTTCATTGTATAATGAACTTATTCTGTGTATAGTAAACAAAAAATTTCTAGAACAGCAAATATTCATCTCAAAAAAAATTCTTTTTTTTAAAAAAAAGTGAGACCAGACATTCGGCATCCGGTACCTGGTCTTTATTCTAAGAAATTTTATATACAAAAAGAAACTTTTTTTAAAAAAAATAGATAAGTATACCCGACTGATTTAATAACTAGTGTATTGATTTTGTATGGCCTTAAAAAAATCATTTAATTAAGTTTAAAAATAAATTAAAAGCATTAAAACCGTTTTTGAAAGATTAAATATTAAATTAAAATAAATAAATAAATATATATATTTAATTCTTATTTTTCCAAAAAAAATCTTTTACAGATTTATGTAATTTGATGTAATTAATGATAATATTGTTTTTAATTTTAATGATAGTATTGTTTTTGAAAGGTGAAAATATTAATCATAAGTTTTAACTTATTTAAATTATTCATACAATTCTGTGAAATCTCTATTTGATACCCTGTAAAGACATTACATTATTAATTGTCCAGACCCCGGAAATTTTGAAATTTCCGTTTTGTTACCAAATCAATAAATCTGTTAAAAATTAATTTAACATATGTTAACAAGGAATAAAAATATTGAAAATAATATTAATCTTGTATAAAATACTCACCTTCCGGTGCAACTATACCCATCAAAATCTATAAAAGAAGCCAAATTAAATTATATTCCATTTATGTCAGATGATTATAAAATTTTGAATTGTCTTACCAAAATTTTCATTAGGATCACAATGGCATTTAAGTTGTAATTTATCGTCTTTAGGACAATGCATGAAATTATCGTGTCTATATCCGATTTCATTGAAAAAATGTATTTGGTGTTTCTTCAAGAAAAGAGCTGCTGCTATTGAGTGAACGGGTGCATCTCCCCAACTATTATAATATAGAAAAATTAGTCTGACGGATCTGCACAGTATAATAAATAGTGAAACTCATCGTCTTTCATATAATTAATCATTTGATTCTAAATTGACGATTTGTTCTACTATATATTAGAATTTGCAGATCCACCGCTGATATGTCAAGATTATCAAAATATTTTATTATGGTTGAGATTAATGAACTAACCGTTCGTAAAAGAATCCACCCTTTTTATCGAGAAAATCAAAGAATTTTAAATATGTTTCACTTCTCCAAAAATTCAAATCACCAATTTCAAAGTTTGACCAAAAATGACATCTAAATTGATAATAAATCATTGAATAAATGTTATTCTTGTGAAAAAAAATTTTGTTAAAATAAATTTAATATGCAATGTAACTTTTTTTTTTTAGAAAACATACAAATTATATGTTTCGCCATTATCGTCTGATAGAAAATCCATTAAATTATCTTTTTCAATGTATTGTGGATATTGTTTAATAAATTCTTTGACGGTATCCCAAAGAGTAGGTATAGTGTTTTGATATTCATACATTGAAATAGTGAAAGCTAAAAATTAAGAAATTGTAAAAAAAATAAATTATAAATTATTATTAGCATTACAACAAAGTATAAAAATAATAATAATAATTACCATATTTAATATCATGGTCTCTAACGTAGGCAAACGGATCAAAGTCGATATCACAGTAAAAATGAACACCAGGCTCGACGCGCCAATAATGATCATATTTATCCAACAATTCGTGTCGAAAGAAAAACCCGGATTCATATCTGAAATAAAAAATAAAATAATAAAAATACAGTATAAATTATAAATAATAAATATTATAGTTTTTTTTTTAAAAAAAAACTTTAGCCTACTTTCTATAAATTTTCAACAATTAACTTACCGGCACATATGACGATAGGGTACGCTATCACCATAAATTACTTCATTTTTTCTCATTTCTTCTAATTTCTCGTTAAGAATTCCCATATCTATGTGGCTCGGGACACTCCAGTGTTTTTTTGGAATCACGCCTGCTCATACGTAATGATAAAAGATTTAATAACATATTTTAATATGATATTTTGATTATTTTTAACTATATAATACTGTAATATTAATATTTAATCGTATTTACCATACTCAGTTTTTGACTTAGTCAGAGCGCTCGTAAGTTTCTTGAACTCTTCAGTGAACGGGACATCATTCAAAAATACATATGGGTAATTATATTTATGATTAAATCTGTCTTCAAGTTGTCTCATAGTATTTCTGAATTCATGTAAATCACTATTTCGAATCAATACTACGAAGCATGCATTCGCTTTTCCTATTTGTCTAGTATTATCAGGCACAGTAACTTCTTTTTGTTCTATTTTTGTATCTAACTTCAAATTTTTATGCGATTCTAACGGTTCTGGCTGTTCTGACCAACTTACTTTTAGATTAGTTCCTGTAAAGGACCAATGAAGAATGTATATTGCAAGTAAGACTAACACCAGGTATTTGATATTAGATCGTCTAATCATGGTATTCATGGTAAGTTCTCTATCTGATACGAAAAGGAAGGTTCGCGTATTTAAATATTTTTATGTGAGAGGTGTTACAAATTTAGATTATCGTATACAGCGTACGATGATCTTTCCTGCTTAGAATTAAGATGCCACGAACTGAATGTAATGTTTGCTTCAAAACCTTAAATAGATTTTAAAAGATTATTATTCGTGCAGCGTCGCATATACAATTGGTACATACTGTAATCCGCCAGAGACTTTTTATGCATATATGCATTTATTTAAATCATAACGATAAGAACCATTTTCACGTTAATAATAATTAAAGTCAATTTTTTATGCATTTAGAGATATGCAATTAGACATTATCAACTGTATTGTTCAATTGTAATTTCTATCATTTTTGACACTATATTGCAGCGCTGTATAGTAATTCTAATACTATCTGCTATATAACTACAAACAAATTACGCTCGGTACGTACTGTCTAATTGCATGCTACGTATACGTCAGACTTTTTTATATACAGTATATATATATATATATAGGCAATATATGCATTTAAGTCATAACGATAAGAACCATTTCGCGTTGATGATTAAAAGTTGAAATTTTTTATGCATTTAGAGTATATGCAATTTAGATAGTATGCAATTAGACAGTATCAACTGGTATACTTGTTTTAGATTATTATTAAAGAAACTGCTAATAGTTTATATGATTTTTGCAATATTTTTTTTTTAATAATACAATTTTATTTTATTTTATTTTATTTTTTAAAAGCAAAAAGGTACGTACGTACGTATAAGAGAATTTCTAAGGCAATATATAAACCAATTGATATCTCTAAATTTTGATTATGAAACCACCTTTTGGCTTCTAACAAAAAAAATTTCTTGAGAAATTTTGGCATAAACTATATTTCACCCAAATCTCAAATTCACCCTTGCCCTGACCATAAGCGGGAGTTTAGTTTTCGTTTAAATTTGTTTGATTGCATGTTGCACGAATTTGTAATTTAATAAATTACTATACCCGTGTATAAACACTGTGTAAACTAATACAATAAACTAGTATATACCCGTTGCTTGCGCCAACAGGTTTGGTCAACAAAGTCCTGAAAAAATCATAACTTATCGTTATCGTTATGAACTTTTCGGATTTGATCATTGTTACACATTTTTTTATACGTTCTATTCTTTGCATGCATTGTGTAACACTACACTTTTTTATACTTATTATTATGAGAGATTTTCTTTTTTTATTTAGTAAAAAAAAATTCCAGATATCTTTAGCCAGAAATGTTTTTAACTTATACTTAGTGATTTTAAGCCACAAGGCTTTAGTCGGCTAGCTAAGCCAGCCTACTAAAAATATCAGCTAATCGGCTGGCTAACACTTCCAAAAACTTTGACTCGACTCGCTCGTTATTTTATGTTCTTTTTTGGAATTTACTAGAATAACACTATATGCTAAATCATGCGGTCATTAGCTGCAGCTGCCTTAGCCGGCTTAACTATATTGTATCTGGTTATATAACTTTAATTAGAATTAAAGCAAAAGCAAATATATCGATATATTATAATTTATAAATATATAGAATTCTAAATTGGTAACAGTAATGCTATATTTCAATGATGGAATAATTAAGATTGGTCATTATTATTAATATCAAATAAAGAAGAAATCAGCGTTAAGAATATTATCAAAAATTTGATAGTACTGTAGTTTAATTTTTAAACTTTACAGATAACACGATAATTGATAATCGCCTAACTATATTTTTATTTTTATTTTAATTTCTAATAAAAAAGTTTTTTCGCACATATTAGATTATAAAGTTGATCTAGAATCAAATTTAGGTGAGTACTGTGTGAAGAACCAGGTATAGTATTTTTGAGGATATATTATATTAAAATTAGTAATCATCATGGAGGTTTTATTTTTTGGGAATACTGTAAGCAGTGGCCAACGAATCATCCATTTAACTAATCTCTAATTCGTCACTTCCTCATGGTATACCTATTTTTAGTTTGTTGTAATATTGATATTGTTATTATTCGTAATAAATTATTAATAAAGAAATACAAATTATCGCTTAAAATTTTTTTTAAAAATTCTTAAAATAATATTAGGATATTCTTTTATTAGTGTTTCTAATACTACTTATGTCTTTAATATGTAATTGTCGAAATATAAAACATTTTAAAATATATATGTGAAAGATCGAAAGAAAATTCTCGATCATAAAAGTATTAATTATTATTATTATTATTATTATATAAATAAGATTTATGAATCACTAATTTAATTCGAAACAGAAACCTGAACCTTAGTTCTGAATTACCCTATTGAATGATTTCTCATTTCAAGCCCTAAATCGAGACCATAATATGACGGATTATTTCACTAACCCAATTTAGGATTTGAATGACATTTTGAATTCAAAGCAAGAACAATGAGTTTGTTCACATTGCAAATTGACTAGCAAAAAATTTCAAAATGAAATAAAGTACGATATCGAAATTATATTTTGTATAATTTTATTGTAAGGATTTAATTTCTAATTTCACTTGCTTTAATTTTAACAGTAGTTAAATAAAAAATTCGTGGTGATTATGTGCCAATAAGGATATAAGTCACGGGTATTTGCTTTACCATTAGAATTCTCTATTTTTAAATTACATGTAATGTAAAATGAAAAGTATTCTTGCAACTGATTGGATATCAGGCATATCACATGTTTATAATAACCTTAATTCTTATTGGTAATCTTATTGGCTAGTATTATCGGTTCCAGTAAAATAATCTCTTCCAGTGAAAACTTCACTGGAACCACTGGAACACTGGATATATCTGGGCGTCCAGTGAGGTTCCAGCTTCCAGTCAACAACACTGTTATAAATGGAACTAAATACACATAACGATAAAAAACGATAGATTGATACGTAACTACGTAAAAAGAAATAATTACTATAAATAGAATTAAGTACTGTACATACGTATAAATTGATAACTAAATTAAAATAAAAATAAAAATAAAACGTAATACATGTCATGGTCGAATTTGGTGCCCGGGAATTCGTAGCGCAAGGTTGATCAGGATTTGCGTTGCAAAAAATCAATTAAAAGTTTAAAACAATGATTGCATGAATGATGGGAAAATATGTAATAATTAATGACGCAAATGCATATTAATAATTAATATAAGATATCGATCCTAAAGGGGTGATATTTAGAACTTTGGAATTAGAAAGTTCTTTGACCCGTAATTACCTTGAGACTCACTTTGTGAATAAACTGATACCGTATAGTTCCGAAATTAAGCACCACCCCCTCTACCCCAATTTTTGAATTCTCTGATTAGCGGGAGTAATTTGGCAAAGATCTTATTACAAACTACGCCAATCTGAGATTCAAAAATTAGGGTAGAGGGGTGGTGCTTTGTGCGCATATCGTCGGTGGAACGATACACAGTCTACGTGGAATTAGCCAAGCGAGTGCGAAGTGAGTAAAGTCTGTGTGCAAAGCCAAAAAGTGCACGGTAGTCCGAGTTACTCCGTGATAATACATATTACAACCCGAGGTTATATTGCTGTGAGATAGTTGTCGTGAGTGATGTAGAACAGGGACAGCATGCAGTACAGATTTTCCGCATCCGGGCTGCAGATCATTTCCGATCTAGCTCCAAAATCTAATAAAATTTAAAATTTTTTAAAGCTTTAAGTGAAGATTTCTCAACGAACACCTGACTAAATTTGATAAAATTTTTTTATTTGAATTCTGCTAATTTGTTGAATTCAAATAAAAATGTTTCATCGAATTTTATCAGGCAGTTGCTGAGATATCATCGCTCAAATTTGGAAAAAAAATTCAAACCGTTTATCAAAATAGAATTATTTTCAATACTACCACCTGATCAAATTCGATGAAAAAAATTTTATATTAATTCTACAGATTATTAGAATTCATATAAAAAAATTTTCATCGCATTTAGTCAGGTGGTCGCCAAAAATATCTTTGCTCAAAGTTGAAGAAAATTCAAAACATCAAAGTTGTGCAAATTATTTTTAAAATCTGAGCGAAGATATTTCGATGACTACCTAACAAACATTTATGAATTTTTTTTATTTGAATTCTACAAACATATAGAATTCAAATAAAAAAAAATTAATCGAATTTGGTCAGGTGGTCACCGAGATATCTTCATTCAAAGTTGGAAAAGTCGGAAAAATTCAAAACGTTGATCAAAATAGAAGTTGCACCGAATTAGTTTTAAAATTTTGAGCAAAGATATTTTGACGAACACCTGACCAAATTTGATGAAAATTTTTTTATTTGAATTCTATATATTTATAGAATTCAAATAAAGAATATTTCATCGAATTTGATCAGGAGATTGTCAATATATCATCGCTTAAAGATGAAGAAAATTCAAAAAGTCAGAAGCTGTGCCGAGTTATTTTTAAACTTTTAGCGAAGATATCTCGATGACTACTTAGCTAAATTCGATGAATTTTTTTTTTATTCAAATTCTATTTATCTATAGAGTTCAAATAAAAAAATTTCTGTCGAATTTAGTCAGGTGATTGCCGAGATATCTTCGCTCAAAGTTGGAAATTTTTCAAATCGTCTATCAAAATAGAAGCTGCGCCAAATTATTTTTAAAATTTGAGTGAAGATATCTCAACGAATACCTAAACAAATTCAATGAAAACCTTTTCTATTTAAATTTTACAAATACATAGAATCCAAATAAAAAAACCCCCCGAATTTGGTTAGGTTATCGCTGAGATATCTTCGCTCAAAGATTTAAAAATAATTCGGCACAGCTTTTATTTTGAAGAACGTTTTAAAAATTTTTCAACTTTGAGCGAAGATATCTCGGCAACCACCTGACTAAATTTGGCAGAAATTTTTTTATTTGAATACTATGGATAAATAGAATTTGAATAAAAAAAATTCATCGAATTTGACCAGTTATTCGTCGAGATATCTTCGCTAAAATTTTAAAA